GGGCACCGCCTCATATCGAGTATCAGTTCTAGACGACATCTAGTTACTTTGGCTCACATATGGACTGAATTTCAAGTCTCCAGCCAAAAGACTTTCTTGACTGAAGACTTGGGGGACTACTGTTTGTACCATACTTAGAGCCTCCGTATTTAGACCTCGTATAAATACTCGGGAGACTCAAATGTAATTATGTAATGAATGAAGGGGCAAATATGTAATAAGTGAGGAGCCCTTAGTCTAAAAGGGACTCCTCACCCTCACAATAGAGAGGCCTCACATCCCCTAAATAGAGCTCTCATCTTCACATACAGAGGCTCCCACCCTCACAATATCAGTGTGGACGTAGCCCAAACATTGGGGTGAACCACGATACATCTTGTGTTCTTTACTTTCTTGTAGATTCACGGTCAGATTTACGTTGTTCCAAGACCCCTCCGGTTTTGTGCATCAACAAATAGCAACAACAAGTCCATTAAAAAAGCATTCTTAATGTGAGTCACTAGAATTGGTGGTTGTTATGAACTGCAAGAGATTTCCATTTTAGAGCATCAGTGAAACCCCATCTTTAGGATTTTCTGGCTTTATCGTCGCTTATGGTAAAAGATGCTGACAAGGGAAACATGAGTTTAGCTCTCAATGAGAGCATCAATTGTTGGAACCAAATTTGCGTGTATCCGCCGACGGAGGCGAGATCCAATCAGAATTTGCCCATGATCTTTCTCGAGAGGAGAATGAGATTGATTGGGCAGTGTAGTTGAATCCAGATTGGACTACGTACGTATGTCCGGGAAAGAGAATCAAACCACCGATGTAGTTCTAAAAAAGAATGGTGTGATGTGTGCGAAACCACGAAACATCCTTGATGAATAGCCTATGGCAGGGCGTTAAGAAGATGATTCCCCATGGATATGTCTATGCGTAGATGGTGGCGTATATGCACGATGAGACTCCATTAGACATAGAGAGAATACGTGTGTAGTAGTTTTATAGAGAAGATGAAGAATTGTCCATGATAAATGCCCAGGCTAGAGTATTTATAGAGAACCTAAGAATCCTTGTAGGGAGAGTAATCCCATTGGGAGTTTATAAGAGATGCCAGAGGCTCGCTCGGATGGGCCACTATACCATACCTTTTGACGGAAAACTTTCTAGGAGGAAATCTAGGATAAGATATCCAATCCTCCTAGGATTACAATTATGTTATCTAACCCCTAGCCCAAGATATATTAATTTGACTTGACTTAGGGCTTTCTTACGTGTGAGATAAGTAATATCTTCAATGGGCTTAAGTCTAGTATGTTGGACTAAGGTTGTAGACTATGCTTCATGGCCACAGGCAATCCGGTCCTTCTTACCACCCGAGGTGCCACATGTCAAGAGCCCAGAAGATCATCTCAAAATGTTCATTCAACGACCTTAATTGCACTGACCAATGACGTAATATTGAGTGCATACAGTAACATTATAGCAAACATAGCTCGAGCCAACTAATACACAACTTCAAAAACAGTTTTTGCTTTGCTAGTAACAAGGAAACTTCAAACTTGCAAATTGTCAATTACCCTATCCACCTTTTTTTTTATATTTAAATTTAAATACTCTTGATCCTCAAATTGGCTGGCAGAGAATAAGGGTGCTCCTATACTTTGCCAAAGTTCTTAAACCACTTCATTAGGAATATATTCTCACTTATTTTTGTTTTTATTGGTTTGTTATCGAGATAATCTTTATATAATAATTTATAATATGAAATTCCATCACAAATTAATTGGTGACACTATCTTCTATTATTTTAAAGAGTCTAGGGTTTATACATACAGTAATTAATATCTTAATAGATAGAATGTTGTGTTTTTACTTATGTGTTTCAAGTTCAAAATTATTTCTCATCCTCTAAATTATTGTAATACTTTCAAATCATCCCCACTCTCCTTAATAATAATTTTTTTTTTTAAATGTTTATGGTTTATTTACTGTTTAAACACGTACACTCAAATGGAGATGGAACTTATTCCTCTCAAAGGCAATCTATTTGAAAATTCCAAAACGCGTGACCGAAAGCAGAATAAAGCCTGCAATTGAACAAGAAGGCTTTTTCTAGGGAAATAAACGATTCATTCCAACTGGATCATTCCACATCACATGTTCGTTTAGAATTTTGGACTAAAAATAATAATTCCTTCACATTCTTCCTGATAAAGCCTGCAGTATAATAATATCATTTCATCGTATGCGGTTGGTATAAAGCCTTCGCTGTTTTCACATTTGGAGGAATTGTTGTGTTAAAATTGTTATCTTATAATTCTAACAATTGAAGGTTTTTTTCTTTATTTATTTATTTATTTATTTTTTTGTCGAAAAGTAAACTGATATTTAATAATCAAAAACGACTTTATACATTGACCTCAGATAAACCACACGTCGCCCCGCACGAATAACCATCGACCATGGAAAAAAGTTCTTTACCGTTGCCACCACGTCATCCCCCACAACCTCCCAAAACTTATGGTAGAAGCCACTACTAAAACCATCCGGAGCCGGAGACTTAGTAGGGTTAATTTGAAAAACAGCCTCCTTTATCTTTTCCTCATGAACCGGATCAATAAGATCAGCATTATCCTCCTCCCCCACTTGACTCTTTGCGCCTTAGTAGCTTCGGCGGATCATACATAAATCCATTTTTTCCCACCGCCGAGGGCTCGGTTCCGTATGCAAAAGTAGAGCATGGTTGGATCCTTCCAACTTGCTTCCGGATGTGCCTGCCTCAGATGCTAACTTAAGCCTGATCCAAGCGTTCTTGAACTAGCTAGTCATTTCTCCAAGTAAAGTCTTCGTATGCAGAAGTAAAGTCATTTCTCCAAGTAAAGTCTTCGCATGGACCCAGCTAGCCTCGTATTCCCACCCTTTCGTATACAGAACAGAAGTAAACATTTGTCCTCACATAAGCGGGCTTCTCGTGCCAAGAATAAAAACTAGCAAGCACACCTCTTTCAGGATAAAAAGAAAAAAAGAAAAAAAAGAATAAGCACTCTAATATAATAAATTTTGGAGGGAATGAAAACATTTTTTTATTTTTTTTTGGTCGAAGGAATGAAAACAATTAAAATGGTTTCAATTTCAAATACGGGTGGCAAATCACAGGGACTCGCGGAAGGACAAAGCAAGAACACATTCGAGTACCCATGAGATAAAGAATAATTCATGTAAATAAGTATCGTTTGTAAATTAATTTGAAAAATTAAGAAAATCTTACTATAATTGATTAAGAAGTTCTTGCAACTAGTCACAGTCTAACGATATTTTTACGATTAATGGTACATAGATCACATTTTTGTATTACATGATGTGGCAGATGAATGACGGTGGTAGAAACCAATAATTTCTATGCACACCGGTGTAGGATCAATCTTTGCTGATTTCCTCCCCTAACGTTTAACAAACTTAACCTTGGTAACATTATAGTTTGTAAAAAAATAAAAAATATTCAATATAAATAAACTTATTAATTGACATGACATGTACACATAATTTAATCACGTGGTACATAACGTATTACAAAAATGTGATCTCCATAGCATTTTCTTATTTGTATTCACTTGCAGGTGACAGATCTAATATTCAACTTATATAGATGATGAAAACTTATTATATTTGTATTATATTCAGTACTTAGTGTCTGGCCTAACTCAATGTCTCACCCCCTCTTTTTTTTTTAGGAAAACTAATGAAAAAGGGTTTGAAAACTTTGAGTTTTAACAATAAAGACAAAAAGGTAAAGTGAATAGTACCAAGATTGACTTTTTAGTGTAAAAATATGATTTTTTATTAAAGTGAACAATACCGGAAGCTTTTCGTTAAAGTTCATTTTTTTTCCCGTTTACTCCCTCCTTCTATTCTTTAATTTGTTTTTGGTTCGGGATTGCAATACCAAATATAAAATAGGAAAACTAATGAAAATGACTTAAAAACTTTGAGTTTTAACGATAAAGACAAAATAAAGGGTAAAATGAATAGTACCAGGATTGATTTTTTTATGTAAAAATTTAGTTTTTCGTTAAAATAAACAGTACCGAAAGTTTTCGTTAAATTTTCCGTATAAAATTACCAATAAAGATTAAAATAATTTAAATTGATCTCGCTCACTCTTCTCCTTGTGCATGCCTGCTCACTCCGGTATCTAAATTATCTATTGACAAAATTCTTCTTAACGTAAAAATACAATATAGTTTTCAATCACAAAATAAAATTATAGACAACATGTAAATTCGCACAAATCAATTTTTTGATTTTTTTTCTTCAAGCACGTGTCATCATAGTATAGCTCTAATTTTAAATTTTAAAAATAAATATCTAAATGTCTTTCACTCTCTTTCATATATTTTTTTTTCTTTTCAATTTTTTTAATATTTACACAAACATAATGTCTGAGCATGCATACTCACTCTAGTATATTTACTAAAAAAAATTTAAACATAAACTTAATAAATTGATTTTTTTCCTTTAATGAACATGGTCAATGGCTTTATCTTTTAAATGACTATTCACGCATCTATTTTTACTTTTCACACTCTTGTTAATCTTATCGATTGATCTTCTTCAATTCATTTAATCTGATGGAAGAAAATTAAAAAGAGTGTGCAAAAAGTAAAAATGTGTGTAAATAACAACCCTAGCTTTTCTACAGGGCAATATTTTTCCTATTTTTAACTACTTTGATTTAAAATGAAAAAATTCAAACTTGATGTAACAGACAATATACTATATCAATCGATATAAACTACTCATGCATAATAATTTGATTCGAATTTGATTCAAGTTCTTAATAACATTAAAACATAAGAAAAATAATATAGGAGTGCCCGAATCATATCCTGTGGGATATCAAGAAAAGAAAGAAATAGGAGAGACAGGAACGTTGAGTGGGTGGAAAGGAAATTAAAGTGCATTAAAAGTGATGCCTGCAATTTCTGTATATATAAAAAAAAAAAAAAAGTGTGTGTGGTTTGAAACCAGACCCTTTTCCACATTTTACTTATTATTACTATAAAAGCAATAGAAACCAGAGATTTTCCTTCCCATAACTCTCAGTTCGCCATCTCCTGAGTCTGCCCTTCCTTTCAGTCCAGAAGCTTGAGTCCGTCTCCGTCACCGTTCAGCAGAAATGGCCGACCAAAAATATGGTTATCCCTACCCTGCTCAAGGGGGTTATCCCCCTCAAGGAGGTATTTTCTTAACTAATTTCACCTTTTTATGTACCAAAAAAAGTTTATTTCAGTTGGTTTTTTCAGGTTATCAATTTGCGCCTTCTCTTTGTTACCCTTTGTTGGTCTCAAAACTCAAGTCTCTCCCCTGGTTTTAACTATATATAAGTTTTCTTTGATGCTCTTAATTTTCAGTTGATCAACTGTGAGTGTGCTTTTGTATTTCTTAACATGGATTAGTATGTAATTAATTATAAATATAGTTTCCTAATAACAATCTTCTATGTCACTGCATGTGATGGATTCTTGTTTGAGTATAGTTTAAGCTAGTGTTATTAGCGCTCCAAAATAGCTCACTAGTTTAGTTATTTTTTAATTTACTTGTAAATTTTTGTTTCAAGTTTTAATTTTAATTTTGTTGGGCAATCTTGTAGGTTATTACCAAGGCCCTCCAGTAGTGGCACCTCCACAGTATGCTGCTCCTCCACCCAGGAGAGAACCAGGTTTCCTCGAGGGATGGTAATTAAACTTTCTCAACTATCTCTTATCTAACATGAAATTCTTTTTTTGTTTTTTTCTGGTTAGCTTCCTTTTCTTTCACAATTAAAATCTAATTTCTTTATATGTTATATCTAGTTGATGATGATCTATTTTTGCGTTTGTTGTTTGGATGTGGTGTCAACAGTCTTGCGGCTTTGTGTTGCTGCTGCCTAATTGACGAGTGTTGCTGCGATCCTTCTATCCTCTGTTTCTTTTAGAATTAATATGTATCCATTGGATAATTCCACTACCATATATTGTGTATAAGTGTAATGCTTCTTGATTGCTAATTTTATTTAATTCGGTAGAATTTATGTACAAGACTACTAGTTGTTTCTGTTCTGCAATCTGTGTGGTATCCAAAATAGTTATATATCTTCTTCATTCACCAGTTCAGCCAATATTAGATGGACAGATGCTAATACAACATCAATACTGACATCGTAGCACAGAATGAGGAGAAATATTTTATTGTGAAGGAAATGCGGATGATATATCATGTGTTTTTATATAAGTGGTGGGAAATTTTATTTTTTAAGTTATTAACTTTTTAACACATATCTCACCATTTGTATAATGACACGTGGTGTACTATCTCGTGTGCCGGTCACACTGTAAAATCTCTCCAGAATGAGGTGTTAGGGTTTAGGGCTAAAGTTTTTATACACTTATAGTCGTTGGGTAATGATAATGCTTAATTTTAGCTAGCTCACAATGTGCCACCAATGTCAATGACTATTGTTGTTTATGGAAGGTTATTCTCTCTTTTTTTTTAGTTTCTTAGACACTCATTTTTAGTTCTGTATTGTGGATTGAGTGAATCAAACGAAATCAACAGTCTTGATTAAACAAGTGTACATAAAAGCTGAAAAAAAATGTTTATTAATTCTCTTATTTTTCTTGTTGGAGTGAAATAATGTTCACTTGATGATGATGCCCAAGTGATTGACGTTTCACTCGCATGTATGAACAAAGTAAATGACGGAGGTAGAACATAAAAATTCAAAACCAATATGTTTACTTCTTGGACTAGCTAGCATTTGCAATGATGTAAGTGAGGACACGTAAGTCCCCACATTTTGAATTTTGGATCACAAGCTGACAAGGCGATGGACCTTCAACAGTTGTCCTCCAAGACCTTCAAAACCGCGTGGGGCTGGATTGATGAATTTTAAAGACGACGATGGATTTCTCTACGTTTTATTACGATAAACGATAAGGAAAAGAAGATAGCCAATGATGGCCCCCTCAAACGGTGGAGTCGTTGCATGATTGCAGCGAAAATTCTAAATGCTTAGGTGTATGACAGGCCTTAAAACAATAATTCAGCGGTAACAAATGCTTAAATGTATGATATACGGCTAGAATAATAATTGTGCGGTAAAAAATTATAATGAATAGAGCAATAATATTGGCTTTTCTTCCTGAACGATCACATGATTTAAAACTCTCACCTTTTCTACAAAATTACTTCATAAGCTAGAAAACATCAGCATGGAATGATAATTCAAGACATGATACTTTTCTTTGCATCACAATTTAAAGATTCATGATTGGATGGACACTCATGTCAATGTGGCTAATTGAAGTCCCATGACAGCAAAACCAACCTAGTCTAGAGAAACATTTGAACATAAAAAATAGGAAAGCGATGTTTTTTTTAGGAAGTCCTGGGGATTGATGCCAAGCGACTAAGGAATTAGAAGTGCACTATGGGTGCGTTTGTTGCACCGGACTATCTCGGATTGGACTAACTTCAGGGACTAAGCTGGACTGATTTAATGAAGCGTTTGATGCAGTGTCGGACTAAGAAGCAGGATAACTATTAAATTTAGATACTATATTTTGATCATACTTATTTCATAAAACCCAGATCACACTTATTTCAGATAACCCTTAATTAACATTTCAAAATTAATCAAGAAAATATGTAATAAACCATGTATAAACTTTATCAAATATAATCAAGTTTAAATACCAACTCAGACGATTCCAAAGATCTACCAAAAAGTAAAATAAGAAATATAGACACCAAAAAATCAAACATCCAAAGATCAATGGCAGAACACCAGTAATCAAATAGCAGAACACCAGCAATCAAACAGACAAAGCATTTGTTCAAAAAAAAAAAAAAGAAGAAAAAAAGGAATCCCCAAAAATGAATCATAAAGAATCCCCAAAGACTACAACACGAATCTCCCCTCTCTTGCTGCAAGACGAATCTCTCCTCTCTCGCTTCAAGATGAATCTGCAATTTGCGTGACGACGAAGACGAGTAGGGTGGTGGGGATGTCAATGCAAAGAGAGGAGAGAAGCAGACTAGAGGTGAATTGAACAGCTGTTGGAGAAGAGGAGTGGGGTGGGTGGGGCTGTCGGTGCAAAGAGAAGACAGAAACAAACGAAGCATATGAAGAAGACGAAACGAAGCAGACGAAGTGAAGCGAGCGAAGCGAGAAGGGGCTTAGCAGTCCTCTCGTATTTGGGGGGTCTCGCTAAGACCTTCTAACGAAGGTGTTAGTCGGGACGAGTCCCACTTAATACCATTAAAGGTAATCCCTCCCTGTAACAAACACAAGACTAGACTGACTTTTAGTCCAGTCTAGTCTAGTGAGACTTAACGAAGGGAAACAAACACACCCTATATGAACACTACAAAGGCGCGTAGAAGTGGTTTATAAATGAGTAGCTCCTTCTAAGTAGGTATTTACAAATCACTCTCATATACCTTTATATATGATGTAATTCTAATCCCTTCTATCTAACATTTTGTGATTTATTACTTACTAACCTAACTTCAATTCCTTGGGACTTGGAAATTCTCCTATGAACATATCTCAAAATAAAATTTTGAAGTATTTAGGGTCAAGGTTCTAAAACACGTTAGGTGCTAGTCGGGCGGCGGGCTGACGCCTAGTGCCTCAGCGGCTAGGCGAGATCTAGGCGGATTTAGATAAATTTCCTGTATATCTTGTAAATAAGTACACATAAAAAATTATACTTGTATAAAATCCATGAATAAGATAATAAAAGAATGATAAAATATAAGAAAAGTATCTAACAAGTGTTCAAAATGTAAAAACACATTAAACATATACGCTATATAACTTAAGACATTTTAAATGATTATATCTTATTTTTGAAACATAAAAGTAAAAATCCCACCCAAAACGGGTTAGAAACCTATATAACAATTGAAAGTTAAGCCTGTTGAGGTCAGAAATCATAAAGAGACAATTATGAAGAGGTGCATGCATCCTTCCTTCCCCATTTCATAAAGCACCACGTGTGTGGTGTGACCCCTCCCCTCCACCCCCACCCATAGTCCCCATCACTCAAATCATCCTAGAGACTCCCAAACCATTTTGACAAAACCGGAAACTTTTCTTCTTTTTTATTCTTTCCTTTTCCTCATCATCTTCGTTTTCTTTCTGTTTCCTCTTCTTCAGTTCTTTTTTTTTTTTTTCCGTTTTCCTTCTGTAAATTCTTTCCTTTTTTTTTTGGTTTCCTCTTCTTCTATTTTGAGCTGTAAGTTCCTCATCTTCAATGGATTTCAGAGAGAGAGAGAGTTACAATCTAGACAGCCTCCTAGATAGGCCGCTTAAGAGTGCCTAGGCGGACCCCTAACAGCTCCCCGATTTTTCTTAACGATTTGGACCTAATTGGATCGACACACCTACGACCAGCTCCTAGGCGGCCGCCTAGACCACTTTTTAGAACACTGTTTAGGGTTAGTATGCTTCAATCAATCCTATCTAACATTTAGGTCACCTATTCTTGTTTAGGATTGAGTCAATCACTATTTTGTACTTTTAAGGAGGGGTCATTCAAGAGAAATCTAGCAACTGTTATTGACCTTAATTAGTTGGAGAGAAATAATTCTCTCACCTTTAGTTGAAGAGAACAACAGTTTTTACGAATCGATGTTAGAAAATAAATATTCATTAGATATGAAATTATTTATTGACTAGAACAAAATTCCTATTTTGTTTAAGGGTTACCTAGGTTTCTCTTAAAAAAATAAAAAATAAAAAATTGTAAGTGACCTTTATAGTAATGTACCCAAAAATATATATGGATACATTCTATTACAAAAAAATAATAATAATAAAAAAAAGCACATGGGTACATAATAGGAACAAAAAAAAAAAAAAAGGAAACATGTCAAACTAAAAAAGAATTGTTGCAGTCCTATTAGATTAGGAATGTGATTGTATAAATTCTAGTGTATCTAGGAATATCTCTTATATTCTTATTAGGAGTTGATTACTTATTAAAAGTTGTAATCCTAAAAGGGTAAGGAATTAACCTTTCCTACTACTATAAATAAAGGCACAATGGGGTGAAATAGAACACACCTCACAATTACGCATCTCTCTCTTCTCTCTACTATTGCCGCACCCTCTCTCTATGGCCTTCATAATTTTTCAGTAAATTATGTCTACAACACATTATCAGCACGCTATTGACAAGAGAATTTATTTTTCAATCAGAGGAGTATTATGTTTTAATCATTCTTTTTTATGATTAATTTATTATTTTATTGAATTGATATACATGCTATTGATTCAATTTAATTTTTATATGTTGAATGTGATACAACACATTGGAGATGCAATTTCAGCTTTCCGAGAATGATCTTCTACAAATTCAAAGGCTTTTATTGTTTTCTGCAAATCAGGTACGCTTAAAATAAAGTAAGATATCTACAAATATATATATATATATATATATATTTGTTTCATGCATTACGCAATTTTATTTGCTATGTGAAATTTTTGAGTCAATGTATATAAAATAAATTAGAAGCAAATTTTGGGTTTCCTAAACCCTAGGTTCAAATTTTTTTTGGGTAATCTTTGGCATCATCGTGGCAACACCACGACATCATCGTGGGATGGCGTCGACAAACTGGACCACCTGCACATCCCTTTTGGGCCTGCTGTTCCACATCAGATCCAACCAAGCCTCGGCTTGGCTTACATGTCACACAGGCCTGAAAGCCCTGGTCCACCCGACCCCGAACCCACATGCCAAAAGCATGCTAGGCTTGTTCCCAAGCATGGGCCTGAAGCCCTAATCCCTTGTCTCGACCCACACCAACAAGCTGTCATGCTTGCTGGGCTTGTATTAGCCTCGGCCCGCAGTTTTTTAGCCAACCCTTGTGGCTGGGCTTATCCCTTGACCCATGGCCTGCAGCCTACTTTCGAGCACCTCTTTTTCTCACGGCACCCAACCCCATCTTTTGGGCTATGCTATTTTCGACTCGATAATATTATTATAATATTATTTTGCTTCTACAATCAACCTCGTTTAGTCCCAATTTATTGAATTAATTAAAAGTGACTTGTCGTCCATTAATCCAATAATGAATCCAAAATTATTGACCTGAAG